TTTTGTAAAAGCAGTTGACAGTAACTAAAATTCGCCATTTTCCTTGCAACTTGGGGAGTGCCAATGTTGCAACAGTCTGCAACTTAATGAGTTAATAACAGCAACTGTGGTGGTTGCCTAACAAAAACAAATATATATTATAATCTAAGTGATCCACTCCTGAATTCCTAGAGCTTACTCATAATGATTGACAAGTAACTGTGCTGTAGATCGAATGCCAGGAAACACCAGCAAATTCTACAAAAAGTTGTTTGTAGGACATTTCTTACATTTCTCAGAAAATTGCACATGTGCCAATATGACTGATGCACACCCAAGTTTATTGCACTTGTATGACAATTGGACTGTATTTTATTTTACCATTTAATGTGCATGGCTCTCCCCTTGACAAGCAAAATCAACAAGGTAAAATGTAGCCTCATGCGCAGATGTTGTTAATAGCAGAGGCCCCACCTAATGTCTGCTTACATTCGCTATACATTTGTCTTCCCGGCAATTAACCAATCACAATCATGTACATGATAATTTAAACATCGACCTTCACTGACCTTCTCATGCATGGAAAATCCAAGATACAAAAATATAATCATGGAGGGCTATTATCAACAAATCTGTAATATTTTTAAAGTTGAAAGCTTTTCTGCGCATCAGAAAAAGGCTTTTCATTCTGTTCTAAACAAAAAGGAGGATGTTTTCGTAAATCTCACAAAATCACTTATTTATCAAGCATTGCCGAAGCTATTCGATGTAATATTTGGTGGTAAATTTTTGTGAACCATAAGTTTAATCGAGATCAAGTAAAGAAGCTATGCGATGTAGGAGTGAGCGCTGTGTCGTTACAAGTGAATTTGAGAGCGACGAAGAAGTGAAGGCATTGGAAGAAGGGGCATATTCTGTATTTATATATGGCATACCAGAGTCCTTGTTGAAGACAAAGTGTATAGCAGAATGGTTTGTGCTTTGGCTATTGATGTATGAAGCTCATGTCAGTATGTATTATAATAAATCCTAAACATGTGTTCGCATTTGTGATTTTCAAAGCCACATGAATCGATTGGCTTTGACCATTTAACAGTCATTATTTTATATTGTCTTGAATTTGTCTTTTTATATGTTGCTTTGTATTATCTATTGCATGTAGTACTAGCAAGTTTATTTGAGTCATAGTTAATGTACATACCCCATACCCAAACCCTTCATAACTGTTTTCTATTTTCACATCAGAGTTGGTTGGGGTGTGTATGTATGTTAACTAGAATGGCTCATATAAACCTACCTGCTGGTAAACCTACCTGCTAGTACTCCATGCAATAGATAATATGAGGGAACATATAAAAAGACAAATTCAATTTAATAAGATCGATGTTTCAATTATCGTGTACATGATTGTGATTGGTTAATTGCCGGGAAGACAAATGTATAGCGAATGTGAGCACACGATAGGTGGGACCTCGGCCACTACCAACGTCTGTGCAGGAGGCTAGGTGAAATGCTAAAGGAGGGCATACAGGATGCATTGCACATTAAAGGGTTGATCCATTAATGTACAAGACTTTTCCCTTGATCTGGTGTTAGGCAGAGTTCATACTAAAGTATGGCACAATACATCCATGGTTACAGTAGACGAGAGTATAAAGTGTGGTCATCACTCAAAATGAATTCCATGTTTCTAAACATCCATGTATTAATTCTCTATTTCATTTGCTAACTGATTAGATATATACCTTTTGATGACATCACATTTTGTGAGCTATTCAACACTGTGAAGGAAATCACCACAAGGTTTGTAAGCCGGGACATCTTGGCCCCATCACCAGACAACTTGATATGTAGTTTTAGCTCTGGATCAGTAATATCAAGAGTATTCTGATTTATCTATATCAAACAGATTTAAGAAATTATATATATATTAGTTTGCACATATATAATTACAGAAATTACATATATAAATTATGTTAAGGAGTATGACATACTGGGGAACTTGCTGGGGTTCAACTTGTTGGGTATACATATTTTACACTGCAAACAGGTTTTAACCATTAACATGCAAGACTTTGCCCTTGACAATTAAAATTTTTTGGCATTTAGACAGCAAAAACAAACAACTATGACATTAGACAGAATAAAATGCTAAATTGGCTAGGTCACATGGAGTTGCATTACCTGTTAAAGGGTTAACAAGTGATAGGATCTGAAGAGGTTGTGCCAGTATGGGTATATAGCAAAAGCTTTTTCTTATAAAGTTAATTGAATTTTGAAAAGCCACTCGGGGAATAACCCAATAAATGTATGTATGTATGTATGTAGCGATACAGTATAGGGGGTGTTTAATGTACGTTATTCAACTACCTGTATGGCCGAAAGATAAAGCAAAAACAACTGATAACATGACATTAGTCATTTATCATTTTAGAAATTAATGTTGACAGCCCCTAAAACATACCTGGTTTTGAATAACTGACTCCAGTTCTTTCAGAAAATCAAGCTGTGCTCCTTCGGCTGGTCCAGGGGTTCGAGTAATATCGCATGGCTTGTTTATATCATTTTTGCACTGCTTGATGAGATAGGAACGTGGCAACTCCTCATTCCCAGGGAGCATGGATAGCTCATGGTACGCTTGATCACCAATGCAGAATTTATCGAGGATAAATAAAACATTTCTGACTTTTTGCTGATCCGCTTCAGCTAAATCTTTATAACATTTTCTAACTTTTTCAGTATAAGTGAAATTGTGATTTGCACCATGCTCATCCTTGAAAATGGTGGATTGTAAATCCAATCCAAATATTTTGGCAAACCACAAGGCCTTCTCAACACTTGACGCGAGCTCAGTCACCTGTCTTCTCTGCTGACACTCACAAACTTCTGAAAGTTTCCCGCCTTCCCTTACGAAAATTTCCTATAGGAATTCCTATAGGAAAAATTCCTATAAGAATTTGGGACAAAATTCCTATAGGAATTTTGTCCCAAATTCTTAGGTTCCTAGGAATTTTTCCTATAGGAATTCCTATAGGAAAAATTCCTATAGGAATTTGTTCTACAGGAATTCCTATAAGAATTTAATAGGAAGAATTCCTATAAGAATTCTCAAGTCTAGTCCCAAATTATTATAGGAATTTCCTATGAGAAAATAATTTATTCTAATTTCCTATAAGATTTTTGGTATTCCTGCAGAAATTCTAGAATCTAGATGAAATAATAGTAAATGACTGACAGGCAATGTTGTTCATCACTCTTAATTTTTTAATGCAAAAAATAGATATAAATATTAATTAATAAATACCAATTAATTAATATTGCAAATATAAAAATTAATATGAGAAATTGGTTATACTAAACATTACAAATCAATTATAGTTTTCACCTATTGTGACAAATTAATC